CCTGCAGCGGAGTTTAGGCCCAGACACGGCTAGTGACGTCAGACTTAATGACCGGATAAGACAAGGCTTTAGCTCCCTTTGGTCTCAGTACACTTTCCCCATATGGTCGTTTCTTTTCAAATACAACATGATTTTGTCAATCAAAGTCTGTTTTAAAGTCAAAAAAGGACAACGGGGACTAAGCTTTATCATGTGATCAACAACATTAGGTTACTAGGATGTAATGCTTCAGTTAGATTGGCCCCTAAATAACCACATCTGATTTCAACACACACCAAGATGGTGATGGCAAAACATTTATTTTGAGGGTTCAAAAAAAAGGTGTCCATTTTTATATACAGTCTACGATTTCATAGTATCTACGCAGACGCTGCTTGATTTATTGTAACTAGCAAGATTTATTGTAGCAATTATGTAACTAATTTCTACTGTGCAATTTCTGATGAGGCTTCGGTGAGCTTCAGAAATTACAAGTGAGCCAACATTTTGGCACAGCACTGTAAGTGTGCTGTCAAGTTGACTGTGTTTTATTTTACAGAATAAACAATAATTCAGTGCATAAGTGAAGAAAAGCCACATAATGTTGAATAATGTGTAATGTTGAAATTTATATTTGCATTTATGAGGATTAAAATGTTTTGTCTTCTCGTTTGTGCACAACAATTTCATCACATTATGCAATCAAGAGGTTAAATACCCAGCATCCATTCACCAGGAGGACTGCACAGTCTGCAATGATGTTATTGGGCCTACAGATTTTTGCTTTGTTATGTGTTAAGCCTTTACTGAACTCAGACAACTGAGAGCAGGCAGAAAATGAAGAGGATAGAGAGACAGAGGGCATAGGATCAAGAGATTAAACCCAGACTCAGACCCATGTGGAGAGCTGGATATTGTTCATGTTTAATTATCACTTTTTTTGTTTTTAGGTACCCATGTTAGACACAAGACAACAAGGAAAAGAGCATAAAGACAGCCTCCAAAATTCCTTCCTGATTGATTGGGGAACCTTCACAGGCTAAATGTGGGCAGAACGGATAAGGAAGCAGAACCATCACGTTTCACAGACTGTATATAAAATAATGTTTTATAACACCTGCTGGTTTGTCATGCTTCTAAAGGCACAGTGGCTGTTTGATAAAACCAGAAATAGATTAGACGACATCATGGGGGGGCGGGGGGGCGCAGAGCCATTGCGGGGGGGCGATATGAAAAGAAAGAGAAAAAAAGAACCCTTGGACACTGCTAGCATCATTGACAGGTTTTTGACGGGGCTCCCACACAAACGCGAAGCTGGAGATGAAGCATCGCCAAATATGTTTCCAAACCAACTTCCTTCCAAGCCAAAGACTAGAAAATATGGTGAAGCTTATCTTCCCTTTGGCTTCACCTGCACAAGTGCCAGGTAGGTCTCTGCGGCAGAATTAGTTTCCGGGAGCATGCTCTGTGCTCTCAGAATTACGGACTAACAGTATCCCACAGTTGTTTATGCTTTTTAATCCATTTTGCACACAGAGGCATTTTTTGAGAAATGTATTGATAGCAATATTGAATATTATTACACAGGAAAAAAACAACTACACGTAAAATAATTACACTGTGACGCCTCTGCCTTTCTAAATTGGGGGACAGTAGCTGCGTGTGTATAGAGTGTAAAACTGCAGACAGTCAGATTAACAGTAACATTTTGCCATTCTGCAATTCATCTCATGTAAACAATAACTTGGCGCACAGCGTGACGTGAAAAAAGGCACATACCTTTGACGCTGCATGACGAACTCTGTATTCGTAAACACGTGAACGCAAAAAACGGCGTTTTAAAAAAATCTCAGTTTTCGGTGATTCGAAACGCTGTTTACATGTGGACGAAAGGTTCGAACGCATAGAAACAGCTGCGTTTTCAAAAATACCCGTTTAAGTGTGGACGTAGAGTAAAAGAGTTAGTAGTGGGGGGGCGAACATTTTTCTTGTAAAACAAAGTAGCCTAAAATTTCTATCAGTGCCAAACTCACATTATTTCACCAATGTGTATTATTAATTTCCACAATGAAAATAAAATAATGCAATCTTAATTTCTTGTTTTAATTAAAATAAATTTTACATTCAAAAGTATAAAAATTGGTCATCTTTAAGTTAAAATAAAAATAATGAAAAGAAGCAGCTGGTTTACCCTTTTCTTCTTCCTTTACTATATGTCCCATGTAAACTATCAGCTTCAACTCCTCCCTTCTGTTTCCTTGACTTTGCTACTTCGGACTTCTGCATCTCGTCTCCTTGCGGAGTTTTCCTTTTTTTGAATAAATTATTTGATTGGCTCAGCACGATCACGTAAGATGTGTTACAATGTACCTGATTGGTCTATGTGTTTCTGTGTGTTATTTGGACTCGGTGCTTTGTTCAACTGCAGTATGTATAGAACAATGTAAAGAAAAACGCTGTCCAGATTAAAATCGACGATACATCAAAATCAAGTAATTAATATGAATCCGTAAATAATGTAAATAAAAATATGTTTAAACAACTGTTATTTTATAGTTGTCTAATAACTGCCCTCTTGGCTCTCTCCCTCTTCCTGAGGTGGATTTTTAAGGTCAATTGCACTTTTTACCTGTATAAATAAAGGATATTGCGTCGCTTTTGCAAAAATCTGGTTGCATCTTCTACCTTGTGACTGGTATAATTTTTTTGGCTAAAAATTACTTAATATCATTAATGACAGATATGTTTGGGAGCTTATAGGCCAACAAGTCATTTACAACGGTTTAAATACAGGCAATCATTTTTTTTGGCAAACTATCATTATTTGGCACAGCCTGGCTGCGTCCACCTATCGGTGGCCTAGGATCTAGAGCGTCATCGGTTACTTGACAGCGAAACAGCCAATCACCGTAGAGTTACAGGGTCACTCCTTAGAGTCCGATGGAAACGGAACGTGTGTAAACGGAAATGGTGAATTGTTGTGGACAGTACACGCTGTGGGGCGAGAGAGGAGAGAAATGGGACAAAATCAGACTCCGTCCTAATGTTTTGCTCAGCGCTGCCGTGTGAGTTAGAAGGAGCCTGAAGAGAATCGACGCTAATGCAGACCTGCTAGCTGGGAGCTAGCAACCAGCAGAGGAAGGTACGTGTGACCACCGAAATAAAGTAGTGAAAAGTAAATGCTACCTCCCGCTGTCAGCACTTCTTACTGTTTAGTCTGTTAAACTGTGTTAAACTGGTAATAGCACCTGTCCAGTGCCTTACTTACCTGGCGTTAGCACTGAGTAAGATGCGACACTAGCTGGTGTTTACCAACCGTCATTTCAATACGTCACTGACATATTAAGTGTTTCACAAATGCTCATATACGCGGCTTGCGTTTTTAAGACTTCAGAGTGTTGCACTGAAGACACCTGTGTCGTTTAACGACACATGCAGCCTTCAGGGACAACTCACGTTGAAGTAGGTCATGCCAGCTTTGCACCTTGTACCTCGGTTCTAAGTTCATGCAGCGGCCGCGTGTAACCGTCATTTTGCTCACTGAATCTCCGTAAGGGAGACAAGATTAGTGTGAATCACAAAGCCCCGATAGAAACCTCCTTTTTGTGCTCCAGCCACCTTAAAATAGTTCCTAAGACTCATTTGGGCAGCAGTTTTCAAACTTTACTTGAATAAATTTTAGTTTTAGTGAGCACCGTGACATAAAAACTGCACAATTGCACCTCAAACGGGAATTAAAACTGTTTAAACGTGACTGACTGACAGATTTTAAGTTAATATTAGTCGTGAGATTCCCAAGAAAGTGCATTTCAAGCTGTTCCTCAAACGCAGCACCACATGGTGATTTTCTTCTACCATGCCTGTGTAAACCCTGCTTTGCGCTCTGTGTTCAAAGATTGACAGAAAGGTGGATGTACCAGTGTTTCCCTGAGGTCGGCTGCTTCCACTGGCTGCTGGTCCTTGAGCTGATGTAAATAAAGCGAACGTTTTGTCACATATGAAGTGCTTTCAGTGTAGTTACAGTAATCCAGTAAATCTTTATACAGATGGAAGAGTCTCTCAGTCTGGACTTGAGTGCAGTGGTCATACAAAAGGCAGTAAAAGGTAACTGTGCTGTGTTTGTGCAGCAGCCATGGCTGAGGCCGGAGCCCATCTTACATCCACGGCTGTCAGTGAGCAGCCGTCAGTGTTTGAAGTCCTGGCACAGGAGTCTTTGATGGAGGCGGTCAGACCGGCACTGAAACATGCAGTCAAGGTGAGCGTGTGTGTGTGTGTGTGTCTGTGTCTGTGTCTGTGTGTGGTGGTACTTATACTTTCCACAGATCAGTGTTAGGGTTCTAACGGCCTAGCTCCTGGTGTCCTTTCCAGGTTCTGGCAGAGTCCAACCCATCCGGCTTTGGCTTCCTGTGGCGAAGCTTTGATGAGCTCTACCTGCTGCTGGACCTTCTCCTTCAGAACCACTTCCTGTCTAACTGCAGTGCCTCCTTCTCAGAGAACTTCTACGGACTGAAAAGAGTTTCAGGCAGGCAGAGACTTCCTGTGCGCCTCGGGATGACCAGGACATCCCGCTGGTGGTCTCTTCTTCTTCTGTGCCTGCTGCCATACCTGCAGGCCAAGCTAGAGGCCACATTGGCACGGCAGAGGGATGAGGAGGATTTCTCCATCCGGTTGGCGCAGACGAGGAGCCAGAGGCTGTACCGGGCGGCCGTAGCAGCATATCCGTACGTCAGCTCAGCCTGGCAGACGTGGATCTTCTGTCAGCAGCTGCTGTTTGTCTTTGGAGTCTCCAGGACCCACAGTCCTCTCCTGTGGCTGGCCGGGGTCAGACTGGAACGACTTAACGCTCAAGATATCAGAGACATGGAGCGGAAAGCCAGGACTCCCGGGAGACCAGCTGGTGGAAGGTACAGCTCGCAAACTCCCTACTGTCTGTGTTTTTACCCACAGTGGTGTCCTAACAGGTGTGCTTTGTACCCGGATAGATCACCAGTTGCAGATTCTAAACTGAAGGAAGTTTTTCATGCAGCCTGTTTAACTGTATGTTGCTGATACAACGTATCCATGCATTAAAGTGCATTTGGTCAGTGATGCAAAAACCACAAAACTGTTGTGTCCTTATGGTCCAAGCCTGTCTGCTGGGATGGCTCAGATCCAACACATTAGAAAACAGATGTTTTTCACAGAGAATATTCAGACAGTTAGATTAATTTCACTTTGTTTGGCCAAAGGTTTAAGTACTTTAAACATTTATCAAGTTTAATGTTTGCTGATGTGCGCTGTGTGGCTTTAGCTCATTTGGTGAATTGATTTGAGGCCACACAAACATACACTCAGTGATATTTTTTACAGTTCTTGAATGAGGAATGTCATACAAAAAAACCAATTGCTAAACACCCACAATGCATTGTTTCTGTGTTCACAGCGTGATGCAGAGAGCGTGGTGGATGATGTCACAAGCAGCGAGGGGCGTGGCTGTGTCTGTCTCCTCTTCCCTCTCTATGGGTGTTTTCTTCCTGCAGTTCCTGGAGTGGTGGTACTCGTCGGAGAACCTCAGCACAGTGAAAGCTCTCACCTCCCTGCCGGCTCCTCCACCCCCGCTCCACCTGCAGCAGGATCAGGGCGGGCTGGGCTCAGAAAGCAGGAACTGTCCTCTGTGCAGGAAGCCCCACACCAATGCCACCGTGCTGTCCACCTCGGGCTTCGTGTTCTGTTACCGCTGCATTTACACATACGTGAAAAGTAACCACCGCTGCCCAGTCACCGGATATCCCACCGAACTGCAACACCTCATCAAGATCTACTCACCAGAGAGCTAAAGCATCAAAGCAGACAAGATCAACTGTGTGAGAGATGATATACAGACACAATATGAAAATGATATTTGAGGGATATTCACAGCTGTTTTCCTTTTTCTATACAATAAACTAATAATGTCCTTAAAGTTTCTGAAAAAACTAATACATTTTAATAATATTTTTTACTAATTAAAATTAAAATACTAAATTAAATTAAAATTAAAATAACTTTTTTTTACTAATTTTCAGCTCTTGTCAAAGTGAAAATTGAATAATTCAATAATAAAGTCTAATTAAAAAAATCTAATAAGAGTGTAATATTTTTGTTTTTTTGAGGAATTTGCAGGGTCCCTTAATTTGGTCACCAGTTGGGTTACTGGTTACAAACTGGCTGCATTTTAGCAGCTTTTTCCAGTGCTAGGACCAGATTTAGGCCTGTCACAGTTAGCATAAAAGCAGATCAGTCAGTGGGTCTTTTCCTCAGAAATAAGTTGTTCACGAATAAGTTGTCATTACTGATAAAAATGTCTGTGACCTGGCAAAGATGTTTAAACTCCTACATGGTGGATTATAAGATGCAACTTCATTTTTTTGGCCTTTTTGAACCGTTGGCCTGGTTCTGCCCAAAGAAGACCTGAGGCACGACCAGTTTGGGAACTTGGTTCACTTCCCTTTTACCCAGAAACCTAAAAAGTGTTCTTCTGCTGCACAGAGAAACATTGTCGAGCTGCTCCTAGTAGAATCAGTTTCTATGGTGTGAGTGCTCTGCTGCATCCCATAATGAGGACACATGCTAATGGAGATGGATTAGAATGAGATCTGGCCTTTTCCTCAAACAAACTGCTGATGAGTTGGAAGAAAAATAAATATACTAATCAGTAAGGTTGTGTGAACACACTCTTAGAGGAGCAGATGCATTTTGAATGAGCCTAGAAAGCATTTGTGTGTTTGTGTGTCCTGTTTCCTTTTTGCCTAAGCTGATCTAACAAGTGGAAGAGTTGTTTCAGATACGACCTTACGATCACACTAATGACTGACAGTAGGGCATAAACAACATAACAAGGTTAATGATGCTCTCATGTCTACACCAAATATAAAACCTTATCCAAATGCAATTTAAAGGCTCACAGCGATTTAGTGCTAAGCTAACAGCTAACAAGCTAACACATAATGATGATTATGTCTGTGAAGGTTCTCAGTCATCCAGGTCATCGTAGTCAAAGGAGCTTGCAAAGAAAAGTTTTCTCCAAGCATGACATCCCGGTGCATTTCAGACCCAGCAACACGCTCAGACAAAAACTGGTTCACCCCAAAGACAAAACGCCAAAACACAGACTTAACAATGTGGTGTACGCTGTACAGTGCAGCGAGGAATGCCCAGACCTCTACATTGGAGAGACCAAACAGCCACTTCACAAGCGCATGGCACAACATAGAAGAGCCACTTTCACAGGACAAGACTCAGCAGTCCATCTGCATCTAAAGGTCAAAAGGTCAAAAGCCGAGCTGAATTCCTTCAAGAGTTAGCGCCAGTTGATCACATCATGATGGCAACTTTCAGGTTTTACAAACAATCCATAGTCTGTATACAGACAGCCTCTTGCTGTATCTGAGACTAGACTAGACTCTTGCACAGAATACAAGTTACTGCACAGACCATCGGTGAATTGCTTTATTGAGTTTCCAGACAAATTTAACAACAAGCCCACTTAAAAAAAACAACAAAAAAAAAAACAGAGAAACAGGTAATCAGGGTCAACATCACAACATTACAGCGAGAGTAATAAAAAAAGGGCTTCGTTAAAATGTCCACAAACCCCTGAAATGAAACTGAGCGTGAAGAATCACAATAGTCACCTTCCCTTTTTTGGCTCCTGCAACACAATCCATCAACAGCAAATCAGGACGAGGAGGGGAACAAAAAAGAAACAAAACGAACAAAAAACAGGCTGAAACTTCAAAAAAGGGACAAGTATCATCATCAATAATAGTCACAGTAATAGATTGCTCGAATAGCGTGTATTGCACATGTGTACACATATATGCACTTTATATACATGTGAGTCAGCAAGAACTAGACACATGTTATATCGTCGCAACAGGCAAGAATCTGGAGAAAACAACAGCACAGACAGAGAAGAGTCAGGAATGTGCTCGTGATCAGTTTCAACAAAAATGGCGTTTCCCGAAAAGAAAAAAACAACGTTTCAGGCGCGAGCTGAAACGAGTGAAAGGTAACAGAGAGAACGTCTCCCCTCAAAAAACAGGAGGTAAATGAGGGAGAGAGGGCGAACCTCCTCTGTCTCCCTCCCACCCGACAGCCCAAATGTACCGCTCTCCCACCCCCCGCCCCTGAACACCGCATGATAGCAGGACACTACATTTACACCACAGTATCAAACATATCAAGAAATACACAGTATCAACTCGTAGCAAAATAGTCCGAGTGTGTGTGACTGTGTGCGTTTCACCTCAGTGTCGTGTGGGTGGCAGCAGCAGTAAAGCTATGTGGCCTCCAGGCTGGGGAGGTGCCCTGACAACCCAAACCATCTCTCTGCATCAGCACGGTGTCCTGAAAGAGTTCTCCATCCCCTTCCCTCTTCTCTTTGGGCTCTTCCAGCTAGCGCAATCAGCCCAGTGCTGAGGCAAGATCCCAATGTTTCCCACCTCAATCTGTGCTCATAAGTGTCCTCGACACCAAGCAGCAACCACTACAGCTGAAGGGTTTGGCCGTCTCTTGGTGACGCGCTAAATCAACGCAACCACAAGTGGTTCATTCAGTTTTTCCAAATTAGGCCAAGTTTGTCCATCGCATCTGTCGACTACGACGACACAGAGGAGCTCACTCAAGCTCGAATCTTGGACAGTAATGCTAATATGAAAGTTGGGTATTTTTAAAGATGAGCAAAGTTTAGAACTGTTCACAACCGTGTGTGAAGAAAGGGATAAACGTTTGTCGTCATATACTTTGGAAATTTTGGAAAACTTTGCTGGTGTCAAGTTTTGCTTGCTTGGCAATTCCGTTTCTAGATCCGACCAAGTTTGCAAGAAACCCATCTGAACAACATCTTGGGAGGATTTTCCTGTTATTTTTTTTCTAATTCTTTTAAATCTTTAATTTTTATTGTGGAACAAATAAAAACCACAAAAGAAGTCTGACCTAGCGAGATAAGGTAGCTAATCATGAGCTCTTATAGGTTTACATGTTGACTTGTTGGGTCAAGGCTTTTTTTAATGTGACATTCTTGAAAATACCTACATTGTTATCCAAACTTGATTTACAGGAAATCAACTAACAATTTGTTCCCTTTGTGAATGCAAGAACAAGGAAAATTGGAAAAATTGTGTGCACTTCCAAATCAAAGGACTTAGGAAAACCAACATCTGATTTATTGGTTGTTTCCATTTTATTGGTTTCTCTTCACTTGTTTGCATCTCAAAGGGAAAACCTACCAATTAGATTAGATGCTACATTTCCATGTCATCTTTTCTAAAATGGAAAACAAAGTCTTACTGTTTAACTACATCAACTCAGTCTTTTCTTCTTCAGTGGTTTAAGAGTTTAGGCCAGCGGTCCCCAACCCCCGGGCCTGGCACTGGTACCGGTCCATGAGTAGTTTGGTGCCGGGATGCGAGTATTGAGGCTCAGGTGTGAAATTCATGGTTTTCAGGGTTTTTTTAGCATTATTTTTTTTTATCTTTTTTATCGTTAACTCGGTTTCCCTGGGTCTTTTCCGTGTGTTATGAATAAATCTGTTTTTTGGTACTGGTACTGGTTTTATTTTGTTGTATTTACCCGCTACACCTTAAAGGCCAGTCTGTGAAAATATTGTCAGACATAAACCGGTCTGTGGCGCAGAAGAGGTTGGGGACCGCTGGTTTAGGCCACAGTGACCATGATGCCCACACGATGCTAGTCTAGTTATTGAGGGAATGGAAGATCCTTTAACAAAGTGAATCTTTTACTTGTTGTTACTCATTTTTATAAATGTTAAGGTATTTTTCATCTGAACCAACACCTGTGGTAGTTGCTGCTTGCCTCCAAAGTTCTTCATTTGCTCCCTTTGTGCTTGCATGAACTCCAGTCGAGCTCAGCAGCTGACCCCGTGTAGCACTGCGGTGTCGGGTCATTGAAATGATCGACCTGTCCAGCGCTCGCTCTCTACGGCCCCCACGAACCCGACGCAAGGCGCTGCTATTACTGACTGCGTGTTAAATGGACAAAATGCCCTTAGTGTTTACAATAGTACAAAAAGACTACACTAAACCACCTGGAAACACAGGTCAATAAATCAATCAATCAATACTGCCTCTCCATTCCACCTGACAGATAATATACACAAAGAGCACTCAACCACACTGTGTAAAAAGGTACAGAGAGTTCCTCAGATCATCGGTTGCTATGGCCTTCTCGCTCTCTGTTCCCGTCACTGCAGTTCCACCACTGTGGTATTGCTTTAAATGGACGAGACCCAGAGGTAGCAGCGTCGGCTAGAACACCGCAAAGGGTCCTGGGAAATGAAGTTTAGTGAGGTTGACGATTACGTCGATCAGAGTTAGTCCCCTGACGTCCCGGTGTAGTGTTTCTGAGTTGAGTTTCAATAGGTTTTCATAATAGGCCGGTCCAGCTCTGAAGCTTCTGTGTCTGCTGAGCAACATGTGATTGGTCAGAATGGGAAGGTGGTGGCCAAACAGCAGTCAGCAGGCTTGAGCCTGAAGTTGGGTAGGTTGAGTTTTTGAGACTGAACAAAGCTCAACACTTTCAAACATTCAGTTTAAAGATTTCATGAGTGGTGCAATTTGACTGCACTTTTTTAATGATGATGTTTGAGGATTATATCGTGTAACAAAGCACTCGCTCCTTCATTACTGTACTGAAAATAGTGGGTTGTCAGCACTGATCCAGGAACAGCACACGATGCATTCTCAGTCATTGTCATTATTGTCACAGAATGGAAGCGAAATTTGTGTTAAAAGTTTTAACAGCCTTCAAATGCGCTCTGTTCATTGGATGTAAGTCACCATGATATATCGTCGTGGTAATAAGAAAGTACGCCCTATGTAACTTCTAATGTTTCACATATCAGTACATAATCAGATAATGTGCAACCTCAGAATCACCCCAAGGTCAGAGAAACTGACATAAAGGCAGGCAGAGCACCTCGGGTATGAACTAAGCAATGTTGTAAAGAAGAGCTGTTCCTCCAACAGTGTGAGGAAATGATAGTCATACAGCGGTTACTGCTGCTTGTGCTTCTACAAACTACTGAATTATCCCAGCTTTTATTTATCTGACTTTGTAAAGAGCTGGTAATGTCTCAGTCATTTTGTTTATGCCCGATACTTAAAACCTTAGAATAAACAAAGCATGTAGTTTTTTTTTTGACTCAAACTAGACTGTTAAAAAATCTGAGCAATGCTCTTAAGTCTTAATTTGAAAAAGAACAAGCTTGAAATGAGAAATCATCTGGACACGAGAATGCAACTAAACAATACGAGAAAACAGAAAATGAATCTATCAAGAAATTCTAATTCTAGGCGGATCTCCCTGTGATCTATTGATGTAACAGTGATGTTGATAAGCCTGCTGAGTTGCACATTTTTCTGCCAGCTTTGGCTACAGCTGCTGTGTAGCTTTCAGCCTGGATTATATCTTTAAATTCCTCATATTTGTTTAGGATAATATATGCAGGATTTTATTTGCTCCTATTAGAAATAGACACCTTTAGACCTGTGTCGGTTCACCATTGGAAAACTAGTGACAACATCCCAATTTGAACACACAAACTGAGAATCATGTAGCTTTAACAGCAATTCAGGCAATCCAAGTGCCAACCTCGACTTGTACTGCTAACCCCGGGTCTGCAGGCATGCAGCTTCCTGATGTGTCCTCAACAAAAAACGGTCTTCTCCATTCAAGTTGGTACAAACCACGTCCAATAATACCTGAGGAAGCAGGTTTTCCTCGCTCTCAGTACTTCCTGCTTACTCACTTTGTGTTGTTTCACCTTGATTTTAATCAGTTTGTAGTGAGTTTATTCAAGTTTACTGTGGACAGCTGGGGATGAAATACCAATATCCCAGTCCAGCCTCGTGGTCTAGGCTCTGGCTGATCCCCTGGTCCTCACCCAGGACCACTTCACCCTGACAGACCCTACAAGGGGCAACAATGACTTCTGAACCAATGGGATCACTCAGCCAAAGCCCCCCACTGTGGTAAGGTGGTGATTATGCTTTCTGGGTGAGGTGTTTTGGGCATGTCCAACTAAATGTGACAGAACCAGGGCACGCAGGAATGGGAACACCCATTTATCGCCCCAGAGGAGATGGAGGGCGTGGCTGAGGAAGACCGTCTTAGCATGTCTGCTTAGACTGTTGCTGTGACCTCTAGAAAATGGATGGTAGTGAGTTTAACAACAGACTGTCATCCAGCGAGGCTGTTTTCAACACTCCTGCTGTACCTCATTTCACGATCCATCAAGTGACCATCGTTGCTTCACTGCTTCCTGGATCAGAGCTGATACAAACCTAACGTATGAGAATTACAGGGCTCATGATTTGGTACCATCGTGTGATATGTAGAATGAATACCACAGTCTCTGGAGCTAGCTCCATTTGGACTACAAAAACACATAATCACTGGACCAGCCTATTTTACTCAGCCATGACTTTTGACCTTAATATCACCGTTCTGTAGTTGCTGCTGTTTGCCTGAGGAGGGCAGCGCTGGTCCTGCTAGAAGAACTAGAGCTCGCTGACCACCCCCCCCTCCAACACAACAATATTCAGCCATCCTGAGCATCTATAAACAAACAAACAAACAGGTCGTGATCTGATCGCATCAGACCATGTGCTTACTTCCTGTCTAACAGCCAAACCTTTTCAAACTTCAAATCTTCAAATAGAATATATTCAGAAATCCAATCTGATTGGATAAAACACTGTTTACATATATATATTTATATAGAATATTGTTTTTGCTTTTTTATACAAAAAGAGAAAGTCTTTTGTGGTTTTATACATGTGTGTATGTACAGATATAGAAAAGTGACCACACCAAACCTGCTGTGATGTAACCATGGCCAACAGGACAGGAGACGCTATTTACACCAAACAGGAAATATTACAATTCTTTTAAAAAAAAGAGAGAGAGAGAGAGATAACGTGGGACGTGGTGGTCACTGCGGTGTTTCAAAAGTACAATCCCACAGTCCCCTCCTTCAAAGAAGGAGGTCACATGACTCAATCAACACAAACGATAAAGACAGAGCGAGGGAGAGAGAGGACTGATGGGTGTTGCAGTTTCATTAGTTACATGAATCCTGCTAAAGCTGATCTGATCCTGAGACGCTTCCACCAGATTCCACAAAAGTCTGATTGAATATTATTTTAATCTTATTACTAATATTCAACTGAGATTTTTACTGGAGAGTTCTAGTGTGTGAGGATGGCTTTAGAGGGTTTTCTTCCCTCAAAAATGTGAAAAAAAAGCAAAACTCAGTCTTTTGGAATATAGCCAGATATTAAAAAATAGTCAATAAGCAGAATATGTATTTACATGAGCTCATGAGTCTCTCTCTCCATCTCTCTACAAGCTGCTAAATAGTGAGACTGGGACAAACTAAGGCATCCAGATGAAGAAACAAGGACTCGGAAATGAAGTGACCGACTGGATCAACAACAGCGTGTGTGTGTGTGTGTGTTTGTGTGTGTGTTTAAAAGTGTGCTTCTTCAGTCCTGATCAGCTGGTTGCTGTACTGAGGTGCTGCGGTGGTGGTTTGTGTTTTCTGGACTTAGTTTTAGTTTTTGTGGACAGAAAAAAAGGCACCTAGTTCCTCCTCCTCCCCTGCGAATATTAAAACCAGTCATTTCCTCCAACGGGCAACCCTGCGCTCGACACACGCAAGAGGACCAGTCGTCCGCTTGGTGTGCGGCATTTAAGATTCAAGTTTCTCCACAGTCATCGTCCCTCAGTGGAAACAAAGGAGCAGGGATGGAATAAAAAGATCACGAGAATGATTGGAGGGTGGAAGAGAACATTTCAGTGGTGCTGTGTACAGGTGGTCAAAAATTCAAGGGCTCCCTCTCTGCTGAGCCCCACGGAGGTGCTAACAAGTCGTCTGCTCCTCCTTGCATGGACGAAACAGAGAAAAGAAGTGCATCCATGTTTTCGCATGACGCGGTTTCTCCTCCGTTAAGTTCTCCTTTGCCAGTTGGAGTCCTCCACAACAGCACGGCTGCGCTCTGTGTGTGTGTGTTGTGTTTACCAATGCACACTCCATGGAGGAAGAGGAAAAGGAAGAGAAAGAGAGGTGCTCGAAGGAGATGTAGGTGGAAGTTTGGTGTGCTTCTTCTTGTTTAAGCTCCTCCTACAAAACGGGCTCCTCTTCCATTGGTTCCTCTGTGGACCTGAGAGAAGGTCAAAGCAAAACAACATAAATGAATAAATACAAGCCTGAGAATTTGTTTGAAAACACGATTCATTTCATTTTATTGTGAATTACAACACTAATGTTCTTGGATGACATGCGTGCTCTCCTGTAGCATGAAGCTTTCACTGTGCACTGCTGACCTGCTGGTTTCTGTGCTATCAGGAACAGAGCCTGGCTGCTCAACATCGACGCTCAGAGACGCCATGGCGCTGACCGTTTCCGCCTCATCCTTCTCTGACTGGCCTTGAGCCCCCAAGGGGCCGTCGAGTAGCGAGTGTCCACTGGTCTGAGACAAACTCTGCAGACAGGACCAGTGTTTACCTGCAGGGACACAGCGAGAGAAAGAAATACAATCAGGAAGTTGAGAAGATACGATCTCATGGGTTTCTGGCAGTTTAGCGAGCGTTTCTTACTCTGGATCTCTATTACTCTCTCCAGGGAGGCGTAGGCTTTTGGACAGGGCTTCTCCTGAGGCCACTGAAACATAGAGTCACACTGACGGAGACAGAGAGAAGGGAAAACCAAAGAATAAGTGCTCGACACTTCAAGAAAGTCTGCTGACCAGTGAGGAGTGATGGTCTCATCACTGAATCACAGAACAGGCTAGCTAACATGCTTTATTCTCTTTATTAGTTTATGAGTTAGTGGGTACTCTGGCTTCCTCCCACAGTCCAAAGACATGCACTACATGGTGTGAATGTGGTTGTGTGTCACAGTGTAATCGGCTTCACAGCTTTTGTCCCAGTAAGAAAGCTACGAAGCAGATTTTCCATCATTTGAGTGAATTTATTCGGACAAAGCAGTAATTCCAGTGTGCGCTCAGTCACCTCAAACCATCACGAAACCTTGTAA